TTAACTGTTCACCTAGTATGGAGCTTTGCTCTTCACTATTGCTGACCGTAACATGCTTTGAATTGGAAATTGTTATTCAGGTGTTGGAAAACTTGTTGGAAAATTCCGTACCCTATCTCAAGTACAGCTATAGAAAATACAAAATCCGGTAATAACTCCCATTTTTTACAATAATTTCTGGACTTGTTGCATTGTGGGCACGCTCAGGCTTACTCTTTCATATAACTGGGCTTGACCTGCTCATCCTTCTGGTGTAAAGGAGCAACAAAAGACGTGAAAAAGGATCATCTCAAGGGAGGATCCAGTTCACTTCTCGGGCAGAGAAAGAATACCTGAAACCTTCTTATTCTGCGAGCATTGGTGTTGAGCTAGAAGATGGGCTCTTTGATGGTACATTTTATTCAGTTACTTTGAAGTTTGTAACTTCCGGGCATCATTTCTGTTTCTGTGGCAGACCTAGTAAAGTTAGAGTTCCTTCTTTGATCCCTTTCTTGACTTCAAATTTCTTACATTCTAGTAGTTCTTGTTCCTGCTTTTGGGACTTCGTGGCTTTTTCCTTGTTGCACAAGAGATTTTCTGCTCAGTTTTGATTGGTTTTCCTATGGTGACAAAACTAAGATCTTTTGGTCTAATAGAGCTTGTTGAAAATTGCTGTTAAAACAAGCAAGAAAGCTTATGTTACAGAGTAGAGAGGTCAAAGACTGAGAAGCTGTTTGTATGTGTGTGTGCGAGCACACATGCGTATAAATTTGAGTTCCTTGTTCAAGGACATCTATGATTGTTTGCTCCTTTTTGAATCTAACGACAGCTCCAACACTGAATGCACAGATTATTTGGAGTTAGCATTGCAGTTCGGAATGATAATGATGTTTGCTTGTGCATTCCCTCTTGCATTTGCGTTTGCTGCATTGGTAAAATGTTTTGCTTTCATTGTATTTGGTTTGCTTACCAATACCGTTTTATTTCCTATTTACATAGATTGTTCTTCTGACTTTTATATTCAGAACAACATCACAGAAATAAGAACTGATGCTCTGAAACTGCTAGCTATGCACAAAAGACCCTTTCCCCGTGCAGCAACAACAATTGGTGCTTGGCTCAACATTTTTCAGGTGCTCCTGTTTTTGGATTTAACAATTTATGTATCTTCATCTTGAAAGTATTGTTTGATAACCATTTCATTTTTGGTTTTCTGGTTTTTAAAAATTAAGCTTATAAATGCTACTTCTACCTATAAATTTCTTTGTTTTGTTTCTACTTTCCACTTTGTTTTAAAAAACTAGTTTTTAACATGTTTTTATTATAGAGGAATCATGAGAAAACAAGCTTAATTTTCTACCTTTATGGCAAAGTCCTTGAAGTTATTTCAGTTCAAATTTATTTAAGCGCATGGTAATGACTGATCTGATTCATACATAGAATAGGCTGCCTAGTATTTGGAGTCTGTCATAACATCCCTATACAGGAAAAACTGATTGAATGGCACTAAAAGTCTCTCTGCATCCATCCATCCATTGCCTTACCCTGCCGATGGAATTGGCTCTTTTTTTTTTTTTTCTCTTTTTCCCCTATGGTGGAAGGCTTGGATTTAATAATATTACATCCATGTCTAACAAAGTGGCAAACCACTTCAAATCTCAGTTTTTGATAGTGATGTCCATATGCACCAACTGCGCACTTCTAGTATGGTTATATGATCAGGAAGGGAAATGGAAGATTGAACCTGGACTTGCAGCCATCCTAGTCATGGAACATGTTCTCCTACTTGTCAAGTTCGGCTTCTCTCGTTTAGTACCCGAGGTAAATTTTAACTCTCCCAGTCATACCTTTTCGCGCCTTTTCTATGAAAAAAGTGAGAGAATCAAACTTTCGGCAATCCCATAGGACTTAAAATGTTATACCATAGCCATACATTCCCTGAAACTAAAAAGTTCTAAAGATGGCAAAACTTCGTTTTCATTGGCAGGAACCTGCATGGGTAAAAGCCAACCGCGTGCAGAAAGCCTCACAGGTTCAGGACATTTGTTCAAAACAACTGTTAAGAACCATATCTGGTGGAGAAAAAACTCTAAACTATGTAAAGAAAACTGTGTAGAAAGTGGAAGTTATTGGAAAAAAAACACATTTTCCTACTTCCATCCTCTGCTATGGAGAGCATATAGAGTCATAGATAAATATCATAGTAGTCTGATTTTACGAGGTGTCCATTTTTTTCTCTTTTTTTTTTTTTTGCTGGTTTTCTTGTTTGGAACATTCACACGTACTGGTGGGTGATTTTTTTTCCTCCTCCAATGGATTAGGAAGGGGGGAAGAGAGAGAGAGATTAAATGAGATGATTCATTGCACATAAGGAATCACTTTTATACTTGTATTGTATCCGTGATCATTCATTTCTCGAAGAGAATCTTGCTTTATTCCTCAGAAAAGCTGAAAGGGCCATTTTATTTCAGACGAAGAAGGAAAAAAGAAAGTAGATTACTATGTACATTGTTTTTGATCTTTAGCTTTCACGACACAGTACAAACAAGCATGTTCTTCATGGAAGCCACAGGCCCCCC